ATTAGCCTTTTTCAAGACAGCGCTGAGTAATCCCATTTTACCATCCACGGTGTAGGTGTCTCTCCGTGGCCTTGGAAGGAGTGTCTGAAGTGTTACCGCCCGTAAGAAGGTGTAGGCAAGATCGTTCAGTTGACTATGAAATTGCTATGTGAGTGACCGTCTAATTCAGGTTTATCAAAAAACCTGCGTAGGTATGTGTTTCATCTCGATCTGAGGACAGATAACCTACTCAGTTGCAGCAGTGAAGGAAACTGACAGGACATAGCAGCCTTCAAGGTAGTTCGACACCTACACCATTCACTAAAGCAGCACAGAAGCAACGGATTCAACGTCACAAAGACCCTATTGTCGTTACGTGGCAGCTCCGTAGTCTACTTGAGCTTTCCAAGCCTTCTGTTCAACTAATTCCTTCACGTCGAAGGAATCCTTCGCGGAAAATTCTTGCATTCTTTCTCAACATGAATGTGTCAGTTGTGATCACTGGAAACAGCACACAAAGTTTCACGCATGAAGATTCGGTTTCCGAAGAGAAACAAACGTACAAAAACTACATTCTATGGACAATCGAAGGTAAAGGGCGGAGCCAAAGGCGAGGCATGGAAAGAAGACGGCCTTGGCCGGCTACGTATCAGGCGACGCAATGAAAGAATCGGGTTAAAGCGCGCGATTTTGGAGAGTAGAGACAAATCGATCGATAGAATAGGATGGAGTAGAAGTGTGAGATGTGAATGCAATAAGTCAAAGGCCAGAAAGAGTTTCTAGTGAAGGCACTCCAAGAACCAAGGGAAGCATTCCCGTGCCGGTCTCAGGACATCTGTCAACCGTGAGCCTTGGCGGTTCAGCGTTTTGTAGTGATGTCTGGGAGCTCTCACAAGTGCACACTATCACAGCATCTCCTCTTTCTTTATCTTCTTCAAAAGGCTTAGTCCCAATAAGACACAAAGTGTGTGCTTTTCCAGCTACGCTCTCACCCTTTGGTTGACAGAAGCCTTGTAACCTCCCGTGCCAGCATTTGTGACAGATGTGCGGCGGTTTTGAACGCGTAGCAGCCAATCCCGGTTTTCGTGTTTTTACCAAAACAAATGCAGTTTTCTGTTCTTTTCATTCTTATCGTGGATGATAGTCTCAAGCCAGTGTTTTAGGGCTGAAATCGAATCAGGATTTTTCCGTGAAGGATTCCTTTGATGCTTGGAAAGGCCTAAGCGTTGAAGAGGATAGAACTCCACAGCCTCTTCCTTAGGCCATACATTTCCTGGCTAAAAAATAGTTTTCATCTTCCAAAACCCCAATAGGCTCGTGTTTGCTTGGGCTGTGCTCAATACTTCGCAACAGCCAACGGCCCTGACAATCTCTATTTGCTGTGTCTATTAGGATGCTGACAGCGAATGGGAAGTGACGTGCTGAGGGCTCTCCGGGCGCGTTGTTTTTTCAACTATTGCTCATGGTGACGTGAGCATTCAAGAGTGATGT